GAGTTTGTTTTCGGCTTTTATAATTTGATGTTGGGCGCCATCTTGGTTTTTTATACCTTTTTCTTTTTTTCTGTTTTCTCTCTCTTCTTCTTTTTCCCGAAATTCTTGTTTCTTTTTCTGTATTGCCTCTTTTTTCTGGAAATATTATTTTTTTATAGATATTACTTGTCCTCCATTGTTTGCATAGATTGTCAATTTGGTCCTTTCTCTCGTATTTTGTTTGCCTCGATCTCTAGAAATTGTTTTGTGTTAGTGTTTTGTACGCCATTTCCTTTTTCTTTTATTCTCCTTTCTTTCCGAGTTCAGTTCTTTCGGGTATTGTTGTACTTGGTGTCTTTTTTTCGACAAAGATGTAGAAATATGGTCTAGTTCTTTGTTGTGTGCCATTTTCTTCCAACTGGACAGGTGCGTGTGTGTGTGTGTGTGTGTGTGTGTGTGTGTGTGTGTGGACAGATTGACTGAGGTACATAGATAGAGAGAAAGAGAGATATACATATACTGACTGACAGGCACACACACACACACACACACACACACACACACACACACACACACACACACACACACACACACACACACACACACACACACACACAGATATATATATACACACACACACACACACACACACACACACACACATACACACACACACACACACACACACACACACACACACACACACACACACACACACACACACACACACACGCATATATATATATATATATATATATATATATATATATATATATATATATATATATATGATATTCCAAAGCGTTTAAAGGCAAAGAAAATGGGAGTTCCAGACGCGGTCGCTTACAATAGCAGTACCAGGTTTCAGGTCACGTGACACCCTCTTCGGAGATGCAGCGAGAGCGAATAAAAGAGAGATAGAATTTCCAAAAGGGAGAAGAGAATGGAGGAAGATGTGAGGAAAGAATGGAGAAGTTAAGGAAGAGAGATAGAGTGTAAAATGATGATCGTGATAGTGAGGATAATACAGATAACGGTGACTGTAACATTAACAATAATAGCGGATTATATCAGTAAGATCGATGGAAAATACGAAAATCAGATAAAAAAATCTAAATTAAAAAAAAAGATAGATGCAATTTTTATTTTCCAAATATGCATTTCTTCTTTTCTTCTTCTCCTTTTCCTTGTTTGTCTCCTTCTACTACTTCTCTTTCTCCTTCTCCTTCTCCTTCTCCTTCTTTTTCTCCTTCTCCTCCCCCTCCTCCTCCTCCTCTTCCTCCTCTTCTTCCTCTTCTTACTCTTCCTCCTCTTCCTCCTCCTCCTCCTTCTTCTTCTTCTTCATCTTCTTCTTCTTCTTCTGCTTCTTCTTCTTCATCATCATCATCTTCGAGATACACTTTTTTTCTCTGGACGAGGTTGAATATATTTCTAAAACCTGTGTATTTGCCAATTGTCCATATGTAGGCTGTTGGACAAAAAGTTTTGCATCATTCCTCTTTATCACTCTCTTTTATGGCACTTTTACGTGCATTTTACACCGGCGAGTCTAAGTGCCGAGTAAGAGAGAGAGAGAGAGAGAGAGAGAGAGAGAGAGAGAGAGAGAGAGAGAGAGAGAGAGAGAGAGAGAGGAAAGAGAAGAGAGAGCGAGAGCAAACCAAACCTATGTGTGCATACGCATCTGTATATAAGTACAACACGTACCTATCTACGTATGAACAAACGCATACATGTCCGCACGCATGTCCGTATCACCTTACAGCGCTGCAAAACCATTCATTCCTCCCCAGCGTCTTCTGAGGAAACCTTCGGTATCCCTTTCCACTTCCTTACGGGATTGTAATCAGGGGAAATAGATTACACGCTTCATTTTCGCCCGCCGGAGCACGAGGGACCCAGGCCACCGTTGTTGACTTAGAGGGTGGGTCGCGTGGGTGGTGGGGAGCAGGGTGGGGGGTGTGGGGGGTGGTAGGGTGGGGTGGTGAGGGATGTGGGGGGTGGTAGGGTGGGGTGGTAAGGAGGGGAGTAGGAGAGGTAAATATGGAAGGGGGAAGAGTAGGTGTATGGGTGGGTATGGTGAGGGGAAGGTGAGGGAGGGGGTGGATAGAGGAGTGTGGGTGGGTAGGTGAGAAGGAAGGGGGTGGATAGCGGTGGGTGGGTGGTGTGGGAGAGTCCAGGACGGGGGAGAGTTTATGGGTAGGTCTGGTAGACGAGGAGGGGGGGGAGAATACGAGAGTAGGGGAATGTGGGTGAATCGATGAGTGAGTGGGTTGGTGGATAGGTGGATGGATAAATTTTGAGGATAGGGTGGATGACGGTTAGATAGGTGGGTGAGTAAGTGGGTGGGTGAGAGTAGGAAAGGCGGGTGAAGGAGGGAGGTGGGTGGGGAGGAGGGGGGTGTCATTGGTAAGTAAAGGTATGGAGGAGATTACTTAATAATTGTCTTTATGTGTACATGTGCGTCTGTAGTTATGTGTATATATGTCTGAATGGGAGAGACGTGCGTATATGTTGCTAATTGTACAGTATTATGTATAAAACTGCGCGTCTTTCCGTG